TTTTCTACTGTTGCACTGAATAACCCCTAGAAGTTTGATCCCATAGTTCTGAAACACCCTGTATACGTTGCGAGAGATTCAAAGCGACAGATATATGTATATCGTCAACTTCACGTCGCTTCGCGAATAAAAACGTAATTTGAGAGAACTGTTTGAAAAAAATTTCGATATTACTTTAATTACTTACTTGAATTTTGAACGCGAGAATCTCTCTTCGATCGTTGAATTTTCACGCGTAATAAACCTCGAACGAATATTCGGTGCTGAGATTACGCGTTTGTTTATCACGTAAATAGATTTTTGTTTGCAGATACGTGGAACGGCAATTTTTGTCGGGATTTTTGTAGGAATAAAAACGAGTAATATCGAAAAACGCGGTTAATCTCGATCGTGGTGCACTGATTTGACACGCCACGGCGATTATACAAATGGTGTTGTTCGACAACGCGATGTGCTTCTTTTTCGAAAAAGAGAAAATGGTAAAACACGCGCGGGCACGAATCTCGATTATGCGAGAGCAAAGATGGCGTTAACAAACTAAACAAGCGGAAAATTCACAAACAAAAAAAAAACAAACCCCCCCCCCCCCGCAAAAAAAAGAAATACCGTGTCAGAAGTTTTGTAATAGAATTCTCATCAATATTAATTGCACTATTAATTATTTAATGTTTAATATGTTGATTGTGCATGGGAAACTGACCGTCCATTAAGAGTCATTGACTATAGACGATTACGGATTTTATGATTATATTACAATATTAATTTACTATTAATTATGTTATTAATAAGCCGCTTATTACATAGACTAATTATGTACTAATTGCATTATTAATTAGATTAGTGAAATTGATTAGCAAGTTGACATTTTATGTACTTTATATATTATTTATACATATATAGATATATACATATGTACAATGTATATGTTATTTTAGCCTACATATAATTATAAAGTTATATAAATATGTTAATATAAATATGCATACGCATATAGACGAACTATCATACTAGCGGATTTATACAAGTGTTATCACAAATATATTAATTATATATTATATATTGTTCAATTATATCTATTATATACTCACAATTATACTATTTCACTACTCGTATTTTTACTTAAATATTAATTTTAATTATAAGAAAACATTCAAGCTTGTACAACATGATTGTGCACAACATTTATATTATAAGGAACGACGTGAAAGAAAAATAAACGCCTTAAAACTAAAAATTTACAAACTATAGAATGTATAACAAAATAATTAAAAAACAATTTTTTTTTTTTACAAAATATTTTGCGTCTCAATTGTATAGTACGGAAAAATTCATATATCATAATATACTCGTACTTCAACTTTTGAAGACAAACAAATTTAGCTTTTTACAACACGTTTCATTTTACGTCGATCCTACGTTTGCAAATGTGACCGTCAATATCAAAAACGCAAATCAACAATTGTCGTTCAATTTGTTACATAACAGGACGAAGGGCGTAAAACCGCAGCTAGTACGTATTTAATAGACCAAACTATGCAGGATTTCGGGAAAGGCGGTTTAGAGATGCAGGTCCATCAGGGCACTCTTGGTCGTCGTAGTAATCACATGCAAACGTCCATGAACATGGACTCGCCGCCGCAGCGAACCACCGCCAGCGGAACTCTATCGGGTATATATTTTTATATTGCTGTGCTTTTTTTTTTAAATATTTAACAATTAACTGTAGAAAAAAATTTATATTTCACGTTTCATCATAATTTTTTTTTTATGTTATACATAATACAAGAGTTCGTATATTTTTTTTATATCTTTCATTTTACAACTCTTTCACATATTCTAAAAATCATACAAATGATTCTCAAGTTTTTGATAAAGAAAGACGTGAATATGGAAAGCAAATAGATTCATATAGATGTAAAACGCAACTACTGAAATTAATGGATTATATACGGCAACCCCGTTATCACGCACCGTGATCATATCATCGCTATATCACGTGAGATCTGTCAATTTCTCATCAATGTTCCTAACGTTACCGTCTCACGATCAACATCTACATCCCATCTTCTAAGATCCACATAACATGTCGTGTCGTCTTCTAACGTCCTATATCGCCGTTCTAACGTTACAGTGTCGAAGTCGAGTTACATCGGCAACCCGAGCCCGGCACCGCCTAACGACGTGAGCTTCTACAGCGTAGAGATGGACAACGGCGGACGTGGTTATATGAGCTACGACGGCAATCCGAGTCCAGCACCACCGTCGATTGGCGATCCGGCGGGCGGGCCTTATTATCCCACGTCTATGAGTTCGACAGGTCACATAATGGGCAGCGGTCATCTGATCGCCGGCACGGGCACTCTGACACGCACCAGAACGCTTCCGCGTCCGGTGCCGCCGCCCGACGTCACCGTGATGACCGCAGGTACGAAATCGCCGATACCGCCGTCGGTGCCGCCGCCGCCCGCCACGTTCGCCCGAACGGCCGCCGTCGTCAACAACGGCGGACCCCATTCGCACTCGCATCCGGTCCCGCCGCCGCCGCCCTGCCAGAATCATCCGTTGTCAACGTTCGCGGCGACGCCCACTTACTCCGACATTGACGGCCATCTTGTCTGAGGCTCGCCGATCTTCGGACCCAGCTCGGTGCGCGGCAAATACCGCGCCGTCGCCCAGGACGACGACGACGACGACGACGACGACGACGAAGAAGACGGCCGACCGGTCGCAATCACGGAAAGGAGCACGCGTCTCTGAACGACGCGAGGTGTTGCGATGACGGATGGATTCTCCTTACGTGTCATCTACGGAGCATTACCGATCATCTCCGTGAGGAACGTCGAAGTAACGACGAGCAAGTGGCGACGGTTTGGAAATGACCGCATCGTGGCTGAAGGTCCTGGCACTCGTCATCATGCGCCTGATCATAATCTCCGGGAACTCTGGTTTAGTGCGCGAGAACGAAAGTACGACGAAATGTGTGTGTAAATAATAAACAGAAATAGAAAAAAAAAAAAAGGACGAAAGCGAAGATAACATTGACACGACGAAGAAGAGAGTGTGGTGCATCCAGGTTCACGCTGTAAACACGCCTTTCCCTTCCACGCGGCTACTTCCTAGATGTGAGGAGACACGCGCGGGGCTCTCCTACGCGATATTGAATTCTAATCTCTTTAGGATATAATCGACCGCTTCGTTCGACGAAGAGCGAGCGACGGCTACTCCCCCCCCCCCCCAGGTAAAAATAAGCGAGAAGGAGAGAACGTTCGCGCCACGACGTCGCGCGAACGTTCTCCAAAGTGTGTGCTCGAGGATGATTTTACCATCCGTTTCTTATATATCCGTTATCCGCCTTCCCTTTCATCCTTCTTCCATTTTTCCTAACTCGATCTCTTCATCTTTGTCCGCTCCGCCTTAGCGTTATTTAGCATAGCTATATCATAATCGAACGATCGAAGCTCCAATTGTCGACATAATCGATCGTCGAGGAAAGTATATATTTTCTGTAAATACACGCATAATATGTCCGAGAGATAGACACGAAGAGAGCACTTGCGGCAATAATTTTTTCATTCCTCCTCAGTTGCTTTGCTCAGAAGACACTTGTCGATTTACGTAACCGTTTGTCGTGTAGCGATTGCGTTTAGATATCACTATGCGTTATTATATTAAAAATAACGAAGTCGAAAGATCTGTGGTGAGGGGACCGTCTTCGAGGTGCGACTCGAAGAGCGATCTTTCTCGTTTTCGACCACAACCGAACGCCGAAATAATATTCCAAATTTCAAATGTTTGCAGTCGCAAACATTCACATCAAATAATAATCGACGAATGTTATTATCATTTATAAATATTATAGTATTTATTACGGCAACGATTCCTTGCGCGCTAGAGTAGCCAATATTTTCTCTCATTCCGCGCTTGTGAAACTAAACAAATCTTAAGTTTCTTACGTGTTGTACGTAAGATTATTCCGTAAAAAAATGTTTGTATACAATATTATTTTATA